TATATATATATTTCATTCACTCTGGCTTTTATCAACTGAGGAGTTCATATTTGGATTTCAATTTGAAGTCTCCAAAACTTCTGTAATTTAAATGTAGTAGAACTACTGTAAATTTGGTTAAAAATTACCTTCTGTGATTCATATCAGGGATTTGTTTCTGGCCATTTGACTTTAAAAAGCTGCTGCACTCACCCTGCAACCTCTGACAATAACTGCTCACTAAACGGTTTGTAAAGCTCCAGTTCTGAGTTCAGCTCTGTGAGTTCCCCAAATAAGCCAAACCCACCTCCAGATCCTGTAAAGCTGCGACGCTCCGGCGCTGCCAACYAAGAAGTTCACAGCAAAAAGGTTCCAGTTTTTAGGGATTATGACCAGAGAATACCTGGACCAGATGAGACCTGGAGGACAACAGGAGAAGGTGACGTCTCTGAACACGTTATCCATCAGAAGCGAGTCCATGTTTTGGCAAACGACTAACAGATAAGACTTGTTTGAAGTGACAGATTGTGAAAGAAGAGGCAACCTTTAACACACATCAGTTTAATGCAATGAAGTGATCAACCAACAGTGGGAACATTTGCAAAGAAACTAGTATTAGCTGAGAGGTTGATTAATGAGAGCTACAAATGTATTTTTAAACCAATCAGGACGAATCCCACTAAAKTCCAGTCTCACCAGTTGCTGTCAGCACCGCAGACTGAGAGGTGCTGAGTTTATCTGCCGGTCGAGTCATATCAGCCAAACCAGCCATCACCAGACCCTGAAAAGAAGACAAACAAACCYTTTTAAAGTCGTCACAAACAGGTAAACATGCCAGTTCATGGTGCATGTAAGTCAAAACCAGTTGTAAGTTCAAGGAGCCTGAAGACGAAATGTTTTTAYTCTCCAGGCTGTTAGAAATGGTTTTCACAATGTGCATTATCGATTGAGCTGACAGCCAGAAGAAGAGGTTTGTAGGTCGTCAAAAACCAACAACCTAAAACCTGTGTGTGTTTGTGTATGTGTGTGTGTGTGTGTGTGTACTCAAGTTCCCTGCTTAATCTGTGTGAAAGTGCATTTACCCATTTGAACATCGGAGCCCAGAAGAAAACAGTTTTTGGACCTGAAAAGGACACAGAGAGAAAAAAAAACCCACATTAAATATGGCAGCTCTGTTTCTGTTTAAAGTTACAATTTATCCCCATCTTTTCATTTACGTGAACTCAGTCATTTAGGTGTCTCTTTACACCAACAAGGCAGAAACATAAAAATGATTGTTGTGAAACCTACAGCTCACATGATAAAATATATAAATGAAAAAGTCAGGCAGGTTTAGCTTTATTCTAAAATGATGCAATTCTCTCACTGATCATCAGAAAGGACCGACGAGTTTTAAAACTGAACTGTTCAGGTCTGTAGTTTCACTAAAACATAGGGGTGTAAGAAAATATCGATACACTGAAATATCGCGATATTTCATTTCCCGATACTGTATCGATATTCTAAAGCCCTGTATCGATTTTTAATTAAGGTTTAAAATTCCACCTTCTTGCCAACCGTTCATTTTTATGTTGTAGTTCAGCCTCTGACCACTAGTTGGCAGCAGTGAGCCAGCCATGTGGCTCCTCTACCTCTTGAGGTAGAGGCTATTGTTAAGTGTTGGGTATATATTGTAAATTAATATTAAAAACTAAAAGCTGCAAAAAATATATTTTCAAACTATTTATTGTCAAATTTAGTCTAATAATTGAAAACATGGATGAAATAAGAAATATGAAACAAATAAAATAAAATACATACAAAGCAGAACACAGCTAAATGAATCAAAAGTATGTCTATGTAATATTAGAATTTTCTGAGACAATGAATTTTGGTTTTTCATTTTTTTCCCCTCTAAGAGGTTTTTATTTAATAGAATTTTTGGACAAAAAAAATCGCAATATATCGCCTTGCTTATAGCATCGCAATATATCGGGATATATCGTATTGTGACCCCTCTGTCATGATATGTATCATATCGCCAAATTCTTGCCAATACACAGCCCTACTAAAACATCAGTATTGCTCTCAAAACTAGAGAACTGGTCAGTTTAAAGTCCTCAAATCACATGATAAACAAACCCTTCATCCATGAGAATCCTGATGCTAAAACTAAACTTTTTAAATTTCAGTTTTAGTTCAAACATAAAACAAAGCATAAATAAAASATTTTCTTGTACTTTACATAAGATTTTCGAATGTATATGATAAATCGGTGGACTCACTGAGAAATATTTGCAGCCTGAACAGCTTATTAAACTATGACATGATAGAAATCCCACCAAACCACATATTTCTCATTAAAATAGATTCATTCCAACCAAGGTTTAAAATGTYAGAAATATGACAGAAAAACTCCACATAATCAGACCTGAAGTCCTTCCAGCATACAGGAAGGACACATAATAAATAAACTACAACCCAGTTCAGAGAAACTGCTGGTCTAGAATCAGTATTCCTCATCTGTGATGGGCTAAACAAACACAAGACAGTCCTCACTGCAAACGATCTTGGAGGGAGTTGCCCTTTTTGTCACCGCCCCTTCATACCTGTTTAGAAAGTTTTCTTGAACTAAATGAGCTTCACAGGAAAAACCAAAGAACAGAGTGTCCAGTTTCACTTTAATCCCCATTCAGTCCAAATTATATCTGTGTTAATGTCAGAGAATGTTGATGAAAAACAGGTAAACGTTTGGCTCATATAGGCAGTATAGAAGTTTGAGTTGTTCTCTCTATTTTGTGTTAGTTTTACCTTCATTCACAGAAACTGGGTTTCATGAGCCAAGTTAAATCATTACCATGTAGAGGTCAGTGAAATGTGTAAACACAACCACAATCCTTTGACAAATTCAGACAGAAGGTCTAACAAAAGGACTGTTTAGTTTCAGACGAGCCACAATATAAAACATTTGCATTGTTTCACATACATCTGACCTCAACCAAAGAGTCATTACAACAACACAAATAATACTGAAGAGGCTTAATTCATTAATAAATACTCCATCCATGAGATGTATAACTTTGTTGGGTTTTTCCTAGTCTTAAACATATGATCATGGTGTTAAGGGGAAATAATTTTAACATTGAAGTTCATGTTTTCTACAGAATAATTCTAGTGTTTTGCATTTCCAGAACTCAGCACTCCTCTGTTTTAAAGGGTAGAAAGCTGCAATTTTTCATTTTTTTCAGACTATGGAGCTTAGGTGGACTTTAAGCAGATTTAGATCTGCAAAGGCAAAACTAAAACAATGACTTTCATTAAGTTCATGCATCCAGGTTGGACAGCAGGCAACTTTGTTTCCACAGCTGGATGCAGATTCATCAGAGCTGGTCACCCAAAACACTTGATCAAGAGGATAAAATGAATGTACTTTACCTGCCGGGTGGTTGTACAGGGGTCTCAGTTTGGCAGGCAGCATATGCTCGATTTTGTCCAAAATCCTGTGGTAGGACGCTCTGAGCGCAGCCATGATCGCTAATTCAGACTAAGAAAGAAGACAGTAAATAAGCTAGCTTCCAAGAAAAGTGAACTCCGAAGGTTTCTGTCTTGAACAACTGCTAAATGTTATCAGTTGGTAAGGTATAAATTGATAAGGTGAAGGTTTACGGTTAGAAGTGGATGCTACTGTCCTACTGTCGACCTTTCCCCGGCAGAACTGTGAGCAGCTAGCTGACAGTAGCTTCCCTGACCGACACGACGAGGAGGTGACTTTCTTTTCGACGCAACCTTCAGCGTGAGGGATGGTTCGACGTTCCTTCATTCTCATTGGCTTAGACTGCAAGAGGCTCGATGTGATTGGTTAATTTGGAGGGCGTTCGTTTTGTTTACCCAACAGTACCGATGAACTAAATTTGAACATTAGTATACAAACAAACAAATAATAAATTAAATACAAATAATAATATTAGTTTGCAGAACATTACAAAATTAACAATATTTTGTACTTATTAAAAGGGCTCTAAATATGGCCCATAGAATGCAAATTTTACAATTCCATTAAAACTTTTCAGCACAAGAAAAACGTTGTTTTGTATATAATACAAAGGTCTGTTCTTTCTTTCTTTCTTTCTTTCTTTCTTTCTTTCTTTCTTTCTTTCTTTCTTTCTTTCTTTCTTTCTTTCTTTCTTTCTTTCTTTC